GAAAATCTACAACTTTTTGAAAGACAGCGACCTTCTTCGACGCATATAATATAACCAGTCGGCCGATAGCCCATGATGCTAGTGCTGCGTATTTTCTTAAGTTTGTATAATAATTGTATTATTATGTAAGCTTTTATAAAATAAAATAAAATAAAAAAAAAAAAAATTCGTTTGAACAGTGAAATACAATTTTTGTATTGTAAAATAAATCAAGAGATAATTATAATAACAACGTTTGCAACATTTTTAGTACAAATTTCTGTAATCACAAAATACATACACGTTTTATAAGTCAGAATTTAGCTACACACGGCGATCAGCAATCCTACTCGTTCTCAAATGGAGTGTTTAACCATCCCAACAGATTTACCATATTATTTTATAGTTTTAAGCTAAGTTTCTAAATAAAAAGGATTTTTAAAGAAATTATTTTTTGAATTTGTAATATCTATATAGTAGTAAAACGTACTTTAAATTAGCTTACCCAACACTATTTTGCTAATCTCAATAGCAATACTGCCATAATATTTGGAAAAAAAAAAATTGTTCGAAACATATTCCATATGAAAATATAATATTCGATAATACCTTTTTTTTTACAACTTTTTCATAAATTTTAAGAAAATAACACAATGGAACCATTTTCCAGTTAAAAGTCGGTCATCTTGGATTCTAATAGAAACTCAACCCCGGATTCTCCTTAATGTTTTTACAGTGGCACCACTTAGCTCTCCCTTTGTTCACATAACATCAGCTGATAGTTTCTCTGCTCCTACTCTACCGTGACTAAAATACTCAGATACCTGTAATTCCAGATGATGAATTTCGGGTAAAAATCCACTATTATCGATAAATATGATTAAATTTTTTTTACACATTTTTTTCAAACAGCCACAAACGTAGACCCGTGGCCCGTGTCAGCTGATCTTATGGCCGCGCAGTGTAAGTGAACAGCGAAAAACGCTACTCCCTTCACTCTTTGCCGTAGGATGCCGTAGGTAACCACGGCATTTTAGCAGAAACAATGAAGAAGCTGATAGGACTCATCTTATGGGCGCGCAATGTAAGCGTTACGACCTCTCTTATGGGCGCGCAATGTAAGTGAACAGCGAAAAACGCTACGTATGCATTTTCAAAGTGTTTAATTTAGTGTTTTGTATAATTTATTAAATACTCAATCCAATATTTTTCAACAGTGGCACCATTGGCAAATGTTATAAAAAATGCGAGTTTTGACAGCTCTTTCCGAATCAAGGAGTCTCGTATCATATTATCCATGTCCATTTTGCGTTCGTTCTTCACCCAGTGAACATGTGCCACAGGCAGGAATAAAGGAATGTTGAACTTATTCCAGTGTGAGAGCACCTTAAAATTAGCGTTTTTTATAACATTTTCCATTATGGCCAGATTGGACAAAATAATAATTTTTGGGCATTTAAATTAAAACAACCAATATTTAGTACGAATAAAAATTACTATATAATGGTTATTTATTATATATAGAAAGTATCTAAATTTTTTTAAAGTATATTAGAACAACTGACTTTTGACATTTCAATGCCCAATAAAAAGATTTAAGCTTGTTAGCTGTCAATCATTAAATGTTTTTAATCATTTTCCATTGAAAATAATACTATGATGCTTCAAATTACAAAACCTTTCATCAAATACCTTTAAATTTCACAAATTTATTTAATTTCCATTGTTTTAAATTTTTTATAAGTGGTATTGAACGATGCAACAAATCCCTACGTTTACATATTTTTTGCTAAGATTTCAATCTGGCCATCGCTCGTTTCCAATTGTTAAACGTCAAAACCTCCTGAACTCGATCAACTTTCAAAGTTTAGGTGGTTTTGACGTTTAGCAATTGTTCTCTCACTTCCAGTGAAAGAGGAGTTAAACATCTCATTATAGAGATGGAGAAACATCGATGTTCACGGGCATCGATGTTTTCGCCGACATGATGTTTTCGAAACATCAACATCTTAAATAAAAAAGTTAGCAGTTATTTTAGTTTATTTGTGATATTCATGTTCCACTTCTTTGGTATATTGTTCTATCCTTAGTTTGTAAATAAAAACTAAAAACAAAAACAAATTTAATATCAATGTTTCAATATATACATACATGGTCCAAAAATAATAATAGTTCTTTAGGATATTGTGCTATCCTTACTATGCTATTGCTTATTTTACTATCCTTACTTACTATCCCTACTTTACTCTTCTTACTGACTATCCCGAACTCTACTATATATATTTACATATTATTTACATGTTTGTTTTTGTTTAAGAAGAGGAGATTATCGACAACGATCGATGAAGCCGCGTGCGACGCTCACTTATAAGTTGTCCAGCTTTACTCTTCTCTCTCTCTCTCTCTTTCAGATTTGCCCGAAGATGCGGGAACGCATAAGTATTTTTTAGCTTACGTTTTAAACGCGTCGCCATCTGTAGTAATCTAAAATATAATTAATACAATAAATTGGAAAAAATATGTTATTGCATAATTTCTTACCTGCCAGTACGCAAGAGGGTCACATTTTTCCGGCTGGTTCTGATGGTGACTTGATGGTCGTCAATATGTTTTTGCCTTTTTTTTTGTTGACTTTAATATTGTTTATTTTATGATTCAGTTCTCATATGACAGCGATAATTATGGACGCTGATACTTTTGTGTTTGTAGACACAGAAAGCGTCGCCTCTTCGAAGGTGGATAGCAACTCGGATTTATCATTTAAAATATCCACTTCTGCTGCTGAAAACGGCAATGAGCACCACGAGAAGATACCAAAGCTAATGTAATAAATTCGTTTGTCCAACAAACGTAGAACTATTTAAAACAAAATGGCACGTAACTGTAATGTAACCTTCGTTTGCTTTTGGATGTCCACAAGTCAGTCGTTATGGCGGCAAAATCAATATCGTTAAGTGCAGACTGGAGTTTACTGTTAAGAGACTCATATTGAGATGGAAGCACTGTAACCTGTAGCGGGGATCCATTTCTTTCATGAGCTCTTTAAATCCGTCGTCCTCAACACGAGAAAAAGGTTGAACATCGACAGCAATCATGTTCATGACCTTACTGTCTAGGAGACGTTTTCGTTTCGAGTCATTTTCATAAAAGGAAACCGATTTTCCAACAAACTTTTCTAACATGTTTGGTTTCTGTGCAGTTCCCCCATCTTTGAGCCGATCAGCATAAACGTGGTCCATTAGATTTGTTGTGTTTCCGCACGTCTGTATTGGCTTACCACAGTAATTGCATATCCCATGGGTTTTTTCGCTGTTTCTTTTAGAATAATCCCAAGCTATAGAAACATCACGCCTCCTCTCCTTTTGATCCTCATCAGGCTTTGGCTGTTCGCTTGCTGTTCCTATAAGAAATAAACTGTATTAATGCCTATTCAATGCAAAAGCAAAAATGCATGCGAATGTGTATGTGCTTTTCTGAAGAAATTCATTCACAATGCTTTTCTGAAAATAAATTCGGATATTTAGTACTTACTTTTCATAAACCTGTCCATGTTTAAGTACCACCACACTCACGCCAACACCACCAACAAGTATAACCAAAATAATAATATTCTGCTAATAATTTATAATGAGATTAAATGATATACATATGTACTTACAATTCGACTGTCTTCCTCTATGTGCCTTAGAGATGGAAAAACATCGATTTTGCCTCGCTGAGCATCGACGTTGCCGATGTTTCGCATGTTCGCGTCGATGTTTCTCCACCTCTATCTCATTATCTCTGCCACAGGCAAGCGGAACATTTCTTGGAATTTATTTCTAATGTAGCACTTTTATCTATTTCTTTGTATTTCGTTAATAAGTTATTCCAACTTTTACTTTTCTCAATTTTATTTTTATATTTCTCTTTTTTCGTTTGCCAAATTGCTAATTAATTTTTTATAAGATAAATAAATTCTGATACGAAATCTTTATTAATGGAGTGGCCTGCTTTAGAAGCATTAAACAATCGATTTTTTTTGCTTAAGAATATGTTCCCAAAGTTATAGATGGGAATTCGAAATGTTATCGAAGCTAGAAGGGAAATAGTGACCAAGCGTCTAGCAGATATATGAGCCCTTGGGCGAAAAGCGAAATCTTTGACGCGCGATTTCTCGCTTTTTCATTCTTACAAGTTTTCTTAATTGGCGACTAAACGTCGTATGGAGCATGGGGTAAAGTTTATTATCTTTGACATTAAATTATCTTCTATTTAAACTATAATAAATAAACTAAGAAAAGTCAAGTTTGAACATATTTTTAATCAACATTAAGTACAATTTCTTTTGGCCAAAAACCACTTTTTTCAATTTTAAATTTTTTTTTTAATTTTACACTTTTTTTTGGAATTTTCGTAGTTTACTACTACTAATAGATAAGTTGCTAAAAAATATAAATCTCTTAGAATTTTTTGTTTCTGATAGAAATTGCCTCCTGCATCCTGCCCGCCGTCCGAAAAATGCACATTCGAGGGCAATTGCCTCCCAAATGCAGAATATTAAAGATTTCGTATCCAAAAAATTTGTGAAAGGTGTTTAAATATACGTATAACTATAAAGCCTAGAAATTTCACTTGAATCAATTATTTATATCCCTCTCAAAAAAATTCTCAAATGTATCTGAAATGAAATGAAATTTTGTGCGCACACAACGCCATACACGACACACATGTGTGCACACCCATCGTAAAAAGTCAAACATTTTCGCGAATATGGATCGGTATGCGCATAAGCCCATACACGTGTAAACCGCATGCGCACACATACCGATCGAACGCACTTGTGTGCCGTGTATGGGCACTTTAAGGAAGGAAATGGAAGGAAAGGAGTAGCGTTTGTGACTGTTTCTGCTATTAGACTTTGTGTTCAAATGGAAGACAATGGAAAAATCCGAACAAAAAAAAAAAAAAAAAAATTACCCAGCTGAGCTTGAGCAGGGGTTTGGTGCCAAACTATAACTTTTCTTCGGTGTTAAATAGGTAGTGATAAGCGATATTTCACTATTGGCGATTTTTGCGTGTATTCAGTTCCTTGATTGCAATAGCATTTGAATCCAGGCTATAGTCACTATCAGAATCATTTGGAAGAAAACAGACCTATTTTGAGAAAACCTCACAACAGGTTTGTGTGTTTTTTTTTGTGAAGTTATTCTTGCTCAAAACTCACAAAAAAAAAGCACTCACCACAAGAGGCGAAAAGCACTTTGCTGTGAACCAACTATTATACAAAACAAACAGGCCGCGGATAGCCGGACGGCCTGTAGTAGCAGGTTAGTTGCGAAATAAGTTACAACGAATAAGCAACCCCCGACGATGAGCGGCAGGAGTGGAGGATGCGGTATAAAAGCCAGTCCTGTGACAGAGCGACCGATCAAAATCCAGGCGCGACGGACTTAATGTGAGCAGCTTCCTGGTCAGCGTCTGTTCACCATGTTAGGTGCGGCTGTTAATAAGACCGGTCCATACCGGGGCGCACTGGGAGTCCCTTGAAACATCACCAGCTGTTTTCACTGGTGGGGTTTAGAGGGTGATGTGAGTCAGCTCTGCCGAAGTGTCAGCCACGACGTGAATCAGTAACCAGCCCCTTTGGGCCCTGGTCAGGAAGTGTAAATTGGGCGCAGACCTAGTAGACTGCGTTGCTCCGGGTGAGCGATGGTTCGTCCGAGTTTTCCGGAACCGGCACAGCGTAGGACAGGCCTCAGGGAACTGGGGTAGGGGCATAGCCCCCGAGGGTACACCCGTTCCTGTCTATTTCGGCCCGGCCCCCTGCACACGACGCGATGGTTAAACTGATAAATGGAGACAATAAAGGAAAAAACACACAACAACAAAATAGCAGCAATAAATCTAGCGGTGTCACCAGTCGTTTTACGATTTCAGGAGTATACCCCTTTAAAAAAGCTTCGCGTCTGGCTAGATCGCCTGTGAAGGTGCTCCCCGCACAAGTACCAGTGAGGTCGAAATCGTCACCTCCAACGCTTCAGGAGAACACACCGGAATTTTAAGAAGCACATTCACAACGTGATCATAAAGCTAACGCATTTGATGAGCCCGCCACAGCGCTCTATAAACAATACCATGAGGGAACTTCTTAGCGAAATATCGAAGCTCTACACCCGTGCAAAAGAAGACCATATCAGGCAACGAGAAGCTAACATAGCTAGAAGCGTAGCTATCGAACAGACGACGGCTGAGGTCACTCCGAAAAGACCACGTGATGACAAGCAGATAAAACGACGAACCCCCCCCAAAAAGGGCTAAAACAACTCTTGACGGACTAATTGTGAAAACAGGAGAAATGCTTTAGATGTCTAGAGTATGGACATGTGGCAAAAGGATGCAGCAATCCAGAAGACAGGAGCAAGTGCTGTATCAAATGCGGAGAGGATTGTCATTTCGCTAAAGACTGTGTTAACAATCCTTCCTGCAAGGCATGTAAACACAGTGGGAGAACAAATATAGACCATCAGATAGGAAGCCGGAAGTGCCCCATATATACAGCAGCACTCAAAAAACCAAGAAGGTGAAAATACTACAAATCAACCTGAACCACTGCGAAGCGGCCCAGGATGTCTTGACGCAAAACATATACGAGAATAATATAGACGTTGCATTAATCTGTGAACAGTATAAGAATAAAGACTCTGACAAGTGGATTTCCGACACCACAAATAAGGTTGCAATATGGGCTTGCGGAGATAAGATGATGCAAGACAAACCTTTAACTGACAAGGCGTACTATACAAGAGCCAAAATATGGGCGATTTATTTCTACAGCTGCTATGTACCGCCAAGTATACCACATGCTGAWTATGAAAAAATACTTGACGACTTGGTAAAGGATGCGATGACAACTACACCCAATATAATTGCAGGTGACTTTAATGCCTGGGCGCTAGAATGGGGCAGCAAAAATACAAATTWGAGAGGTAGCGCATTACTTAAAGCATTTGCTGTTCTAGACGTAGTACTGCTTAATACAGGAAGACAAAACACCTTCGAGAAGAATGGACGAGGCTCAATTATCGATATATCTCTTGCCAGCAGGGTGCTATATTGATACATAGACTGGCGGATATGCGACATATACAGTGGCAAGCAAAAGTGAGTGCATGTTTGAAAATTCTATGTTTCAATATCTGTAACTTCCTCAATATTAAATCAAATTCAACCAAATTTTCAGCATTAATTATTTATTAT